TATAACTTTTTGTGTACCCGAATAAATTCCCACTTAAAAATTTCTAGTAACTTCAGTATTCAGCTGCATCAGTGTTATTTAAAACGACACATTGAAGAAATGTGCCAAAAAAAATCTTCAATATGACCATAAAAAATTTCTTGTAGAATAGCCTTTTTAATATGGCGAAATCTTTCAATACAATCATCGTCACCATAAAACATTTCTGGAACATCAAAACAGTTCAAAATATCAAGATATTCTACCAAAAATCCATGGAAACGATATCAAGCTGGGTTTAAACCACCCCTATACCAGGTTCAGAATTTACCGTAATTCTGAGCTGTACTCAGCCAAGCCTTACCTGTGTGCAACGTGTAAACTTGGATTTAAACCTGGAATCATTGATCGGAGGTTTAAATCCGAGATACGCAACCGGCCATTAAACACGCCACAGTGAATAAAAGTTAATTCTTGATTTTTTTTTTTTTAAATTAAGTTGTGACTCTTACTCAGCAGTACTGGAAATTATTCAAATCAATTGTGTTCACTATGATCTGTTTTCACAGATCCCTATATGAATAGTTACGGGGATAATCAAATAATCAGATTATCAAGTGTAACCAGTAATTGAACTTCTTTTCAGGAGAATCGTCAGTGTCTTGATTCTATGTTCTTGATTGCTAGCGCTCTCGAGCGCTAGCAACTACGTTAGTCTATATTTCTGGAATACGCATGCTCAACTTCACGGTCGGGCATTCTGGGAAAACTACTGTAGATAGACTGTGTGATAACAATTTCGTTTTGTCATACAAATATAGATATGGTCAGAATTTACACTAGCCTTTCATTTCTGACGTTAGAGACAGGCAATACCAGTCTAGATCCGGATTCTGATTTTTTTTTTTATTTATTGTCGAACCTACACATAAAAGTACAAGAAAAACTTAGGTCATATAATGCCAAGATTCATCTAGCTTTCCTCACAGTTATACCACCTTCCTGGGTAATTTCGGCAAGCTCGGAAAAAAAATCTTTTCAGGGTATGTCGGAAAGACATGTCAGTTTAGTTTTTATCATCTGAAAATACATATGATCTGAAGTTTCGTGTTTTGTTGTCTATTCTGCACGTAAATGAACAAAAAGTAACAGTTACTCGGGTCCTATAAAAACGAAGACTGTTATTTCTAAAATTGTAATGAATACCTAGCTTTTCTAATTTACCTTCATTGATTTTTCCGGCAAGTTCGGAAAATCGATGCAACCTCGGATATGTTTACCGAGCTTGCTGGAAAGTTCCGAGAAGTTGCGATTGCTAAAATACAGTACCACACTGGAATATTTTAAACTAGGTGCTCATTGGTTCTACTGACCTTTTTTTTCACCTCCAAATTGAAATTACAGTAGAATACAGAATGCTTAAAGCACAGTTAGGAGTTATGCCATTGCCGACGTGAAGCCCACTCTTAGATTTATACCATTCTGAATTATGACCCCCCACCCCCACCCCCAACCCCCCGACTCAACCCCCCAGTGCTCCAATGTGCCTTCTTATTAATAATTAATCGATTCAGCAAATTTAACAAATGGTTCAGATATCTTCTGTATTTTATTATGCTACAGCGCTAGCTCACCAATCTTTTTAAAGGATAAGCTTGTACTGCACTTACACTGACTGTGAGAGTAACAGGTGAATTATTATCAGATGAGTTTATCTCGGGCTCGAAATTCTCCTTTTACAAACGGGAATTTTCCTTCTGGGGCCTCATTGTTTACAAACAATATACCTTAAATTCTTCCGCCGGAAAAACATCAGATATTTGCACAAATTGCATTTTATTTAACAGAAATCTAAGATAATTTCTAAAGCTGAGAATATTAATAAAAGTTAACGCCAATAATAAAACTCGGTTTGACATTTTGATATCATATTTTAATGGACTATTTTCTTTCTCGTATCATAATATTATGCCATCAGCTGACATTGACCGTGGCGAAATTGTTGACAAAGAACACTGGTAAGATTTAGTTACTAACTTTGATGATTTTCATAATCACTCAACATAAATGTTGTATACGTTGAATTGGTGGAAGAATTTAGTGCAGAATTGTGGAAATATCGCATATCAAATGATTACATTGCTGTTTGTCGGGTGACCTAGTTTCATTTCGCTCGCCATGTTTGTAAACAAGTGCTAGATAGCAAAAACAAAACACACATTCTATTTCAAAGACTTCTCCACTCTAGTATATCAGAAGGCAGAAAGAAGAGTATTTCTGCATGTAGGATTCAGACGCTAATTATTAGGTGAGGTGCTTAATGGTTTCAAATGAATTTCAGGGGACTCGTCATTGTTCAAGAAATAGGCTTACAGTACAGAAGACCTAGCCCTTCAGTCTTTCAGTATAGGTCCAGCACAATCTCTTGATTAAGCTATATAGCTTGAAATAGCTATATAGCTTTATTAAGCTATTCGAAAAAGCTTGATAAAGCTATTCATATGCAGGTTTTCACAAAAGTGTTATTTGTACAAAATAGACAAAAAGTCGCTAGTATTTGACTATTCATATATGTAATATGGGTTATCAAATCAACAACCCAAATCAAAGATAGTTCTAACATTGCAGCATTTGAATACTTTTAAGCAAAAGAAGAATTTCCATTGTTTGGGTAGCTGTACACTACCTTGTGTGCATTGAGGCATGGATAAGTATGATTGCTTCTCATTGTACTGAATTATTACCAATCAATTATCTTGTTGACCATAATTGGCCTCCTTTATAATTTCATTGAAGAAGTAACTGTATCAATTGCTTTAGGGTGAGTTAACCATGCATCAGACACATACCTTGCTTCGGACAACTTGAAGCAATAAACTTTCGTTGAACCTGAGTCTCCCCGTGTTTTTACTTGTTTCTGTCTTAAAGGTAAAGATTTAAACTTTTTAATGATGCCGATTTTTATTTTCATGTTGTGATAAAAATACCACAAGAATGGCCTTGAAATTACGTCATATTTTGCATCATCAAAGGGGAGTAACCAGAAATTTACGATTTTGCAATTTTTAGAGTTGTCGTTCTTTTAAATAGACGTCAACGGAACGGGTCGGACCTAGGTAAAATTTATCAATAATTGATAATTTTTCAGAAATTTTCAAAAATTTCACTTCAATGTTTGTATAATATTTGTTAGAGTTGTTTTTAACAAGTATGTTTATTTCACCGTACATCGGACACAAATTAACCATGCATCGGACACTTTCCGATGCATGGGTGATCACTTCCATTTTCATATAAAACCCAAATGACAGCTATTTTTTACGGAAATAGAAAATAAAAACTCTAAATTTTAAGTGAAATACAAGATATCGATATATGACGACTAGAAGTGGACTCAATTTATTTCTTTAAACTAGATGATGATAACCCACGAGACAAAGGCGCGAGTTGCCATATTACTTGCATTGTAAAGCCTTTCTAAGGTGATGTGATGCACCTAAAATCTCTTCACATCTGTGGATCAAAATAGTCATTCAAATTTATCTAGAAGTTTAATTTTTTAATAAAAGATAAAAATGTTTCGATATCACTAATTTTAAAGCAGCGAGATCAAGGTATGATATTTTTCTGGTTTAAATACCATATGTCCGATGCATGGTGAATATTGTTCGATCCATGGTGAATTCTGACTTATTTCGAAAAAATCGGGTTTTAATGATATTTTCTTAATAAATAGCACAAGATTGTGTCAAAAATTTATATTTTAACCACATACTACATGTTAAGTTCCATTTTGATAGTATTCTGTTGGTAGCGATATCGCTAGAACTTGTTGAAGTGCGAGGGTGTCCGATGCATGGTGAATTCACCCTATATAGCTCCAAAACTTTTAGAACTTTGAGTACAAAGTCTCTAAAGAGATGCAATTTGATGAGTGATTTTTACATGCATTATTTTCATAAGCGTTCAAGGTTTGAATATCATCACTGCACCAAGGTGCGACTTTTTGTGCATACTTGGAAAATAACACATTTGAGAAAAAAGTGTGATAAAATAGCTTTATCAAGCTATTCTGAATAGCTTAATAAAGCTATATAGCTAAATCAAGCTATGTAGCTTAATCAAGAGATTGTGCCGGAGCTGTTAGTCTGCGCAATGTGGCTTCAGTCGAGCCTCTGAGTTACAAACACTCATTTTTAGCTCTACTTGTTGGAGACCAGAAGAGCTTATGCGAAAGTAAAGTGTCCGCCATATGTCCATCTGTCTGTCTAGCTGTATCAGTGTTTGTCAGTTTGTCTGAAAACAATTTTTCAAAATGCTTCTCCTCCTAAAGTTTTGGTCCGATTTCAATATTACTTGGTACACAGGTAGACTATACTAAGATACATAATTTTGTGGATCTTTTTTTTTATTTTGTTGAAGGATGTTGCCATGGTTACTTATTAAATAGAAATTTCTCTGAAATTCTTTCAAAATGCCAATCCAAAGACAGTTTCAGTCTAATTTCAATATAACGTGGTACACAGGAAGACTAAATAAGGATATATAATTCTGTTTATCAGTTTTTGATTTTGTTGAAGTGTTGCCATGGTTACTTTAATAGAAATATCTTTGAAATTCTTTCAAAACGCTACTCCTCCTACAGTTTCAGTCCAATTTCAATATTACTTGGTACACAAGTAGACTACAGTAAGATACATTGTATATAACTCTATATATTTGTTTTTGATTTTGTTGAAGTGTTGCCATGGTTACTAAAATAGAAATCTCTGTGCAATTCTTTCAAAATGCTACCCTACTACAGTTATTGTCCAATTGCAATTAAACTTGACTCAGAAAGAGACTAAACCAAGGATCATTATTTTATTTATTACTGTTGCCGTATTGTTTCTCAACTCCGACTAAGTGCTACCTTTTTCTACTTTTGTTAAGTAAAAAGCATTAGAGCTACAGTCTGGTCAGAGATTTCTTGTTGGTATATAGAGTAAACTGTAGAAATTTAATACCTGTACATATTTTAGATAAAAAAGCAAAGATGAATATGAAATTACCACCCTACCTCCAGGACGAAGTAGATGATGTTATTCCATATGCTAATGATGACATTGACTTCTCTGAATTTGAGTGGATGGCAGACCAAGAATTAGAGGAATTTGATAAACAAGTAGGTATATTTGTATAAGGAACTGTATGAAGTCATTAAAGCTTACTTTGTATGTACCATTGTTATACCTGGTGATGATTCAGTTACATTTTATATGTTTGGATCAATGGGATGAAGATAAAATTTGTATTCATTATCTTTGTTCAATGCATGCAGCAAATAAGATAATCCTTTGTCAAACAAATGCATGTTAGATATACACTGAAACTTACCTAATCCAGAAGTTGTGTATTCCAAAATCTTCCCTTCTCTGATGTAAGCTTTACATGTTAGTCTCTCCCAGTAATTTCAATTAATTAAAATGTTGTGTAATTCGGAATTTGTCCAATCAACACAATTTCTATGGAACCAGCGGTGTCCGGATTAGATAAGTTTTACTGTAGATCAAAATATTTATCACATGTATGTATGTAGATATGAAATATTTTCTAATACTGACAGCACACCGTTATTAAGAGCAAAAAATTTAAGGTCGGTAGAACAGAATTGATTAGTCTACTTGAATATTAACAAAAATAGCAAGAATTAAAAACATATATTTGCATGAAATGTTTGGTTCAAGTTTTGAAACTTGGGAAGCACTTTAACCTAAAAATAAGTGCCTGTACATTGGTCCCACCTGTACATTGTTGTTAATGTGATGGTAATTCGACATACTTTAGACTAAATAACATTTATACAGCAGTAATTCTGAAAAATCAGTTGATGAGACCAACATGATATATGGACCTTTTCCTTATTTTCTAAACTACTGTCTTCAGGTAGAAGAAGAGTTCTGGGAGGGTGAGTTCATTGAGGCATGTTTTGAGGAGATGCTCAAAGAGGAGGAGGAGAGGGAAATGACATTTTATCCATCATATCCTGACCACCCCCATCAGACAGTGGATTGTCCCAATAAGGTATGTTTTTGTTCCTTAGTCCTTTGAATATTGATACAATTACAGTCAAACCTCGTTATCTTGAACACAATGGGACCGAGAATAAACTTCGAGATATAATCCGAGGGTTCAAGATATTGGGGGTGAAATACTTAAAATATTAAGTGCTTGGGACTTCCAAATCACTTCGACATATCCATGCTATTCGAGATATCTGTGTTCGAGATACCAAAGTGTCACTGTATATATGTTACAGTTAAATCTTGTTTTTTGAACTGCATGGAATGGAAAAATAGAATTCAAGATATTAATGATATTTAGAAGTCAATTACATGAAGTAAAATATGTTAGGACTTTCAACTGGATCACTTTGACAGATCCATGGTATTGTTATGTCAATGTTGGAGGTACCAAAGTTTGACTGTATTTTCAATTTTAGAATTATGATATTAGGCAGTCCTTGAACACATGAATTTAATCAAAGTTTCTGACTTCAGTCTTTATCAAGCAGTTATTATATACTCAACTGAACTATGTCTAAACATGTTTTCTGTTCATCTTTTAGGTGTTTTCTAGTAAATTGAATCCAAACGCTCCTGAATTCATCCCTAGAAATTCCAAGAAAGGAAAAGCATAGCCATGCAGGAGCCAAGTAGTCTACATTTTTCAAATAGGGTTGCATTGAAAACAGTTGTAAATGCATTATACCCTAATTGTCTTTCATGGAGAGAAAAAAATTACAAAAAAATTAATACTCCCGACATTCGTGTATGGCTGTGGATCTGCATGTGTTCGTTTATGTTTGTTTGTTTACTGGTGTATTGTTTTAAATGTGTTATGATATCTCCACAAGAAAGACTGAGAAATGTTTCATGGTTTCATGTGCATATTGTTTTCAAAAAGTGCTATATTGGTGCACATTTTTTTTTTCAGGTAAATGTTTTCACTTTATGTTTAGGACACATTGAAGACATCAATGTCCTATTGTTTTCCTTCAAGTGCTCAGAGTTGCCTTTCTTTGTATATGATTTCTACTTTCTCTTACCTAATTCTTGATAAGAACTCTATAACAGAGGTTAAATATTCAATTTTTATAAAGAATAACTTTTTCAAATCTGTATTCTTGATTAACTGGAGGGATGATTTTAGATAATGAGATAAACTGTATGGTGTATATTTACAATATATATACATTTATCACATGTTTACCCCTTTATAAAGTAGATATTGCTCATATATCATTTTCATATCAACAGTTGTGACATCACAATGGTTTTTATCTTAAATTGATGAAGTCAAATGCAGTGGATTGATATTTAAAAACGTATATAAAAACTGTGTAGAACATGTTATAGCTGTGTGTAAAACATTTGATAAAAAAAATCTCCCTTTGGCTTGTGGATGGATGTAATTGTATGTTTTCTTTCCCCTCACCAAGGCTTGGGGATCATATCATATCCAACTACAAACCATGGGAGATCCTACCCTTACAGAAATTTCTGATAAGTGACTTATAAGTGATTTATTCTTTTACTTATAAGTTGTTTATACTGGACTTATACTTCACTGATACATTTATTTTATAAGTGACTGATCAGTGACTCATTAGGATTTTATATGCAAAAGTTGTTGTTTTTTTGTTTTGTTTTTTTACATATATACATATGCATCTTCACCTAAGATGAAATAATTAAGTTAACATTTTATGAAAAATATTCCCTCTCATATGACATTCTTTGATGATGCAAACTTTATATATTATTTCAGTTCACAAACAAAAATGTTGGACAAAAAAAATCAATTAAGATTTAATGACCTTGAGGTTTCTTCAAATTTATGAAATCTGAAAGCAACTGAGTCAATTGATTTAAAATTTCAGGCAAAGGAAGTTAAAATAAAAAGATGATGTGAATAGAACCTACTTGTTGAACCTGATGTGAAGGCATATTCAAAATAAATTTGAAATCTCCAACAACATCCTTTCACAGAGACTTAGTTTCAAATTCTTGTTGTTTATCTCTTCAGAGACAAAGTTTCTGATTGGTTAGCTTGAATACTCAAGACAAGTCTAGTATAGTGTAAAAATTTTAAGTCCACACTATTCTGGCTAATACCATACTGATCTTCACTTATAAGTGAAGTATAAGTGAAATATTTACTGATATGTTGCTAATCTTCACTTATAAGTGAAGTATTAACAAAATCTGTTCCTCACTTATACTTTTTTTGACTTATAGTACACTTATAAGTAAATTTCAAAACTTATAAGTGACTTATAAGTGGCTTATAAGTGAAGTATAAAACACTTATAAGTTTTTATTGGTTTTTTCTGTAAGGGTATGTATATGTTCTTGATTTCACATACGATATATCTGGAAAACTTGACATTATAAAGTTTGTATTAAAATTTCAATATAATCAGAAACCAAGATTCTCTGAAATTCAAAGAAAAGTAGAAAATGAAACACTGACATTAATTTCGGTCTATACAATGAAATACAATTTTGAGGAAAATTGTAGATATGCATCTTTAAAACTTAGAATATTTCCTCCAGTTTAATCTAAATGTTAATATGTTTCTGTATGGTCATTATCTTAAATGTAATGAACAAAGCTCCAGTCATGTCTTAATCAGGAATCCTTCACTGTAATATTAATTCAATCAGTATAATGTGTGTGTATGTAAAGATCTGTCAGTTTAAAACTGTCAATTTCATTGTAGGTGCCTTTTAATTTTCAGATTGTTTCATGTAACTTTTTTTTCACTTATGTTTTTTTTATTATTGTTTTTTTTTTATATTATCACACGGTGCCAACTGACAGGTTTTTTTAGGAATAAATTTTTTTTGAAAAAAAAAAATCTTGTATTTTATGGTGATTTTGAAGTTAGGGCAAGAAATATCAGGATGTATTTTAGAACAGATGCTTCCTCCTCGGATTTGAGTCCTGATCTCTATTTTCTCTGTACATGATGATGAGTAAGCGACTGATCCAGTTCGTATTTTTCAGACGAAACCGAGCGTTTCCCTGAAAATCTGACATGGTCTTTGTAATTTGGAGCATATTCAGGAAAAAACTGCGCTGTAGACTTTCCGATAAGGAAATTTGATCAACGGTCGATTGCACAGTGAGGAAAAAAATGAGTTGGTGTTCACAACGTCATTTAATGAAAGGAAATTTAGCACTTGGAGTCACAGGCACCTTACGAATGGTTGGTGTAACCCCCCCCCCCCCTTCATTCCGAGAATTTTTAAGACACGATAACTTAGCCAATAAACATGAATTCCTAACCTATCTCAGAAGGAGGGATGGGGGTTACACCAACCATTCGTAAGGTGCCTGTGCTTGGAGTCTCAGTGATTTAAGCAATTAACCCAGCATACATTTTGAAGTTTCGAAAATTTGACAGTTTTATATTCTCGCAATTTCAGTTGAAAAAGTTGACAATTCTAACAGCGTTGAGAATCGAAAGACGATTAGAGCGTGAGAAAAAACACCTTTTAGACTAGTTATATGCATTTGGTTAATTTCAGTAAAATTTTAGATTGAGTTAAGATCAGATGACGCGTTCCTCAATAAAAGAGAATTTTTCACAATAATTTGTCATTGAAGTATTGCTGCTTTAAAAAGATTCCTAGCAAAAAAAATTCGGTACCTTGCCGGGCATTTGTGCAAGATAACAGAGGATGTTGTTTACTATATAATCTATCGGAAATCACTAGTAATCACGGTATATTAATTTTTGGTGTCTTTACTTAGTTAAAAACAGTTTATAAATAATTAACAAGATAATGATAATTATGTTTAATTTGTTGTATATTACGAAGAGATAAATCAGAACAAAACAGGAGCGTGTCGTCAGACCTTAATTCAACAACACAAAAGTCTGGTCAATCAACAGTCCTAACTTACGCGTACTTACTGGGTATCAGTGTCATTTGATATAATATGAAATAACCACCTTCATATATAATTTAGTTCTGGTTATAACGCGGTATTTGATTGGATAAAAAAAATACTTCATATTGTATAAATTTGGTTGCCTACGTCACAATGACTTGCGTCAAAAACGTATCGATCCGCCTGACGTTACATTTAAATTTTGTACGATTTGAAGTAATTTTTTAGGGGCAATCATTTTTTTCTTACACTAAATGAATGAAAATTAAATTATAAGGAATGAATTTAATAGCTACCCAATTTATACGGTATAAAGTGTGTTGGGGAGTTTACGCTTTATAAACCGCAAAGCGGTTTATAAAAAGCGTAAACTGTTCCAACCCACTTTATACCGTATAAATTGGGTAGCTATTAAATTCATTCCTTAAATAATACATATCTCAATACCTACAGGTCGAAATTAATGAGAAGTTTCTTGTGAAATTCATTAAAATATAATGGTTATCAACTACCTTTTTACCTTGAAATAGTCGTCAAAATAGGACAAATATCTGACTCTATCTAGTAAGATTCATTTGTTGTCAAAATTGAATTCGGTGCAGTATTCCACAAATGTTTTATATAAATAAGAGAAATTTATAATAAATTTTAAAATCATTTATTTAAATCATCAACAAATTATAACAATAAATATATATATTTACAAGAACAAAAGATCACTGGGATTACTTCGGCATCTTAAAATTAACGAACATATACAAATATGCAATCAATGTGGCCATTTATGAACAAAATATGAAATGTCGGGATGCATATAGGCACGAGTAATTCAAACGCTTAAATTAATCAAAATTTCGAGAGCGAGACTCGGGCCTCAACGCTCACATAATTAAACTTGATTTTCCTCCTCAATTATCAGCGATAAAAGGTTCATTTCAGCAAAATCGAATTCCCATAAACCAGCTAATGGCGTATCGCCTTGAGAATAAGTGAGCTTGACGAGTAGTGTTCGAAAAGTTTTAGCTCACAGATAAATTGGAAACGCACAAACGTCGATCAAAGAGGTTGGTTCACTTGAACTTCTTAGTTGAACTGAATCTGGGATCTAAAGTGTAAAATTCAATGTTTCAAAATTGTGCTAATGTTTTAGGTTGCTCTCCAACCACTTTTGAGTTTATTGAGCTTTTTAATTTGAAAATTTCCAAGAGAGAACGGCTCATCCTTTAGATCATCTTCAGTTAAGCATGTAATGAAATTTCCATCAACCTTTTCGTCTTTGCACACGTCGGCTAGTTTATCCAGCTTGTATTCTCTCAAAAGAGAGCACAATGCCTCCACTCCTAAATTTTCTAAAGATTTTTTGCCTACTTCAACAGAGGGATTGAGTGAATCAGTCGGAAGGGACATTGACCTAGGCGGAACTGAAATAACGGGGTCGCTGACCTTTATGGCGGCGACAGGCATCGTTTTACATTTTTCTTTTGACCGCGGAGGAATGGTAGGGCTAAGCACTCGAGGCGGAGGTGAAATATTTGGCGTTGGACTTGATCCTCTAGGCGAATGTGCACTGTGAGTTGTAGGACTAGATACTCTCGGGGGCTGGGTAGGAGACACGTCTTCACTGCTGGCCCCTTCCTTACCGCTAGTCTCTGGTTGCTTGGGAGAAGACGGCTTCCAAAGTTCGATGTATTCTTCGTCAATGCCTGCCTGGGCTGGTCGGTCAGTATCAGTTTCAGGTCCTTCGTTAGCTGATTAAGAATTTAAATCGATTAAATAAACAATAAAGCAATTACAAAATGTTATTTTCATGGCATTAAAAAGAAATCATTATGTTTATCAATTAAACAATGAAATGCTTTCTTTGGTTTAGTATGGAAATAAATGTTGCAGCTGTTGCAGAAAAAAATACATAACCCGCGGGTTGCCTAATTTTTTTCTGCAATAGCTTTAACGTTTATTTCCGTACTAACAAACAAAGAAAGACATTTATATATTGTTTATACAGTTATGTGTGTTTAAATGTATAGATAAACGACCGTGGTTTTCATAAGAAATAAAGGATATGATGTTCAGTGGGTTTAGATATTACCACATATATCTCGTCCAGAAATTAGGTCAATCTGTATCGTCAGTAAAAATTCAGTGTCACAACATAATTTTAATCTATAAATGTTTATAACTTACATAAAACATACTTGCCTTTTATCTCACGTTTCTTTTCAGTTCCTTTAATAATGTAAGTCTGGATGTCACTGAACATTGATGCCTCTGGAACCACATAGAAAGGACAGAATGTGTCTATCTCCTCCATTGAATTTTCTAACACCTCCACATGGACAGAGGATAAATCTAAATTTTCTAGAAGTTCACATACAACATTTGAACATTCCTGCACGTATTTATCCACACACACCACATTGCACTTTCCTAGGTCCGCAAGAAAAAGCATTTTGTTGGATAGGGAAGACGCAACAATTTCATTTTCAAATTTTTGAGTGGCTATTAAATGTTGATCAATTTGTCGGTTGCAGAATTTTACTTTCCTAGGCAAGTTAAATCGTTCGACGATATCCTGCATTGAATATTTTTCAGTGTCTTGAATTATTTCCATCCCACACCTTATTGCGTTGGGCAAGACAATTTCAAGACCAGACTTTGGACCCTCTTTGACAGAGCAACACAACATTTCACCATGAAGTTCTTGTGCATTTGTATACTCTTCTCCAGACTTTGAGAAATTCCCTTTGTATTCCCGAATTTCCTTCACTTCTAACAAACTTTTCTTCTCAACTCGGATGCTTTCACATTCTCCATCTTTCTCACAAATTGCAAATAAATCAGAGGCTGGAATTATATACCTTGGAAATTCTTTGATCAACATTTCTACTTCATCATAAGTTTTCCCGAGGCAATGAATATCGTAGAAGAGTTCCGAAGTATCCCAAGGTATAAATCCCATGTTCTGTTTTAAATCTCGCGACATATTTGATTTTATGCAATCCTTGACAATCACTTGCTTTTCACACGAAAACACAACAAAACATTCACCACCCTTAAATGTCTTCCATTTTGGAATTTGCAGACTTCCCTCTGTCATCTTGAATACTTTTGGCAGGTCAACATTCTCAAGAGCGCGGAGAAAAGACATCTTCTTCTTCTCCGCCATCCTTGAAATGATCTGAAACTTGAAAACGGAAGTTTATAAATCTTGTCTATGGTTATTACACACAACGTCAAACAAATATACACACATTAGTTTACTTTTAGTCAATGGAGAAACGAGGAAGTGTTTTTGCCGTATCATACACCCAGTCTAATGTTGATAAAAAAAAAGTACAACTCAGCGTTTGATACGCTTTAACCAAACGTGGTACTTCCTGTAATAAATAAGAGATACATTCAACAAAATTATACATAATTATGTGACTTTTAAAGTGCTGTGCAAAATATATATATGACTTTTGGATTTACAAATGTAAATATAGAATATTTATGTTTCTGGTTCGCATCAAAACAATCAACTGGGAAAAAACACAAACAAGTTATAACAAATATTCATTTTTAAGAATGAATAAAAACTATTAATATCTTTAAAAAACGTTAGTGTTATTTAAAAAAGCAATCTTGTTTCTCCAGCAGAGAGGGACAAATACGGTGGTCATTGCAAAATTTCAATATCTTAATTATACGTTTCCGTTGGATTAACGCTTGTTGAAATTTCTTTGTGGTCAAGATTAGAAGACTAGTAACAACAGTTATGATGATTTGCTGTAAAACATAAAGTTAATTTGCTACCAATATATTTGGCATAAGGAATAAGTATCATATAAGGAAAGTTTTCTTAGTTTTGTGAGTGTTATTGGTAAGTAAATCACAAAGACTTGTCACTTAATATATTTTATGAAGCGCGCTATTACACACTAGTAATAACTTTCACAAACTGAAAAAAATTCCTTAAATTTAAATTCTAATTTTTTAAAACCAACAAAAATAAACGGAAGCCCGTTGAGGCCAGTTCAGAGAAAGAAATATTTTTTTATTTCGTTTAAACGCAATAATTATTGCGTTTAAACGCAAAAGATTGCGTTTAATCGCAATGTATATTGCGTTTAAACGCAAACACTTTGCGTTTAATCGCAAAAGATTGCGATTAAACGCAATATTTTGCGTTTAAACGCAATACTTTTGCGATTAAACGCAATAGTTTTTGCGTTTAAAAGCGATAATATTATTGCGATGAAACGCAATAATCTTTGCGTTTAAACCCAATAATCTTTGTGTTTACAGGCAGTCATTTGTATCAAACCTTGCAGAGTACAATGGTCCCACGCATACTAAAATCTTTTATTTCTTTCTCCTTTTTACTTATTAGGAAATTGTGTGCTTTATAGAATCAGATTTATTCGAGCAAAAGCTCTCTGAAAGGATAAATCACTTATATGAATTTATAGAAGAGAAAAAAAAATGTCGGGTTGTAAAAACAAAGGCAACCTAAGAACGAGACATGTCTTAAGCTTATTAGATCTCTACCTTCTTAATGGTTTTGGTCAGTTGCTTTGATAAAAAAACTCCTACGTTGCGGTCACGAAGTTTAACCCATGTATTAAGGGTTTTTAGAAAAGGAATGATAAAATGTTGGAATTACGTACAACATGTAGTATTTAGACTATGTGTATTCTCAACCCTTCCTATGGTTGCATACAGTAAACACAAGAACATAGGTGATGGATTCATATGAAATCAGATGATATATGAGATCAAAATCAAATGAAAACAGATTGATCGCTGTGTACTACCAAATTGACAAGTGCCATTAATACCACTTAAACATTATCTATAAGTTGTGATACGTAAGCAAAGAAGATCCGATTTGTTCTGTGTCTTTTTGCAAAATTTTCCAGTTTTTGAAAATTATAGTAAAACAATAGCATCCTAACAACCTGAATGTCTTAAATGTATTAGAACCCAACCCTCCTAATGAAATCGTTGATCAATTGAATGTTTCAGTAATATTGCATAATTACTAGGATCCTAGTACATGTACATGTAATTATAAGCTTGTGTTAAAATGCAAAACAAATCTTTATAAGGAAGGATTATTGCGTTTAAACGCAAAGATTATTGCGTTTAATCGCAATATCATTAATTTTAATCGCAAAAGTATTGCTTTTACTCGCAAAAATTATTACGTTTAATCGCAATATTATTGCGTTTAAACGCAAAAATTATTGCGTTTAATCGCAAAAGTATTGCGTTTAAACGCAAAAGATTGCATTTAATCGCAATCTTTTGCGTTTAAACGCAAAGTGTTTTGCATTTAAACGCAATATACATTGCGATTAATCGCAATCTTTTGCGTTTAAGGACATACGCAACGTAGTTTGAACTTTATTGTCTTTTTCCCTGGAGTTGAAGAGTTCCAATACTTAAAGGAATTGTTTGCTACATTTGTATGTCTATATATGCTGTTGTACACTTCTTCTAAAACAAGTTTGGATAAACAAAACATCTAGAATATGTGTTTAGTAATTTTTGTGTATTTTTCTTTGAATTATACAAAAATTTTCATCAATTGATATCTTTTCAAAACCCCTGGTAATGTATGCTGATTTTTTGTCGACGAACATCTGATGGCACTATAATCTTAAATTAATAATATCTTGAAAAATTATCAGTAGGTAAGGTACGTTGCGTATGTCCTTAAACGCAATAAATATTGCGTTTAAACGCAATAATAAATATTTCCTTCTCTGAACTGGCCTCAACGGGCTTCCGTAAAAATACACTTAATATTGATTTTTTTTTTCTCTGCCATATATCATTATTACTTTTTAAAAATCCCGTTTCTATGCAAGACTGTGCATAACAAGAGACCCAGGTGCCAAATAGCCTACCTGAGCTCTTTGGTTAGAGAAAAGAAGAAATCAGTTCAGTATTGAAAAGTATAAATATATAAGTGGTCCCACCCGACCTCGGGAGGGGCAGTGTGGGGCCATGATCTGAACAGACTTGAATCTACACTAACTGAAGATGCTTCCATATTTATATGCGTAATATATTTTTAAAAGATTTTTGTTATAGATTTTTCTCTTATATATGCCTAAGGGAAAATTAGATCTTCTATTGTGGCCCCTACCTAGCACAAGGTGTCATGATTTGAATAAGCTTGAATCTAAACTATCTTAGGATACTTCCATATTAATATGATCAATCATGGCGTGATTTGCTGTTCCTGATAAGAAGATTTTTATAGTTTTTTCCTTTATATACCTAATAGATGTAAAACTTTGATCGCCCATTGTTGCCCTACACTACCCCCAGAGGTCATGGTTTGAACAAACCTGAATCTACACTACCTGAGGATGCTTCCATATAAATTTGACTAACCATGTTTTGATGTTCTTGAGAAGACGATTTAAAAAAAAAATTCTCTGTATTCCCGTATAAATTTCTGATCATCCATTGTAACCCAACCCTGGTCTCCTGGGGTCATAATTTGAACAAACTTGAAACTAAGCTACTTAAGGATGCTTGCATATTAATATGACTAATCAAGGCTTTGCTGTTTTTGAGAAGATTTTAAAAGATTTTTCTAATGTATTCCTACGTAAAACTTTGATCGCCGATTGTGGCCCCACTCTACCCCGGGGGTCATGATTTAAACAAACTTGAATTTACACCACCTGCTTCCATATAAATATGTCTTATCATGGCTTTGTTGTTCTTGAGAAGAATATTTCAAGGATTTTTCCTATATATATATTCCTATGTAAAATTTTTATCATCCATTGTGGCCCCACCCTTGCCCCTGGGGTCATAATTTGAACAAACTTAAATCTACACTATACAACGAAGTTTTCACATAAGGTTCATCTTTTCTGGCAGAGTGGTAAATGAGAAGAAGATCATTAAAAGATGTCTTTAGATTGTCATTAATTCTTATCTCTTCTTGAAAGAGCTCGATGGTGTGACCCTTCATTTAAAGAAACTTTAGTTACATTTCCTTCACTTTCATACTTTATGGCAAGTTTGGTTGAAATTGGCCCAGTGATTCTTGAGAAGAAGTCGAAAATGTGAAAAGTTTACAAACGTCACACGACAGACGGACGCCGGACACTCTTCAATCAGAAAAGCTCACTTGAGTCTTCGGTTCAGGTGAGTTAAAATGGCATCAAAATCAATGTCATAGTTGGATTAGTTAAAAAAAAAACCAGCACATGTCCGTTATCCATTTGAATATCTATCTACTTGTTTACTTTAACTTGAATTTACTTAAAGTTCTCACTATAATTTGGATAGACTCTACTAGGAATCCCTCTAACCTCAGTACTCTATAATACGAGATCATTGCCAATCAAAACACTTGCCATTACAAACCTTTTTTCGATCAACTTCACTACACCTTGTTCCGAATGAACTAAAGTAAATGTAGGGTCAGATAACTCGCAAGACTTCTAATCTAGCGTTTGTATAGTTTATCTCAAAAGTTGTTTGATTTTCATCAAGGTACATTTCTTGGTAAGAAAGGTATTTTTAAAAACGAACACCTGTAATTTATATATAGGGCATGCGATAATCTGTTTATATATACAAAGTGATAATTAATCCGTAGCACGCAAGTAATTTTGGTTTGTTCTTGTACACAAAATGATAAATCCAACTGTTTAAACAATTTAAGTATTTTTAAAAATTTCTTTGCTTTTAATCATGTAATATTTTTGAGGACTTCAAGACTCCACTTTGACAGGAAGTGTTAATTGTGTGAAAATGTGACTGGGAGAGTGAATATGTTACATGTCTAGATGTACATTATCAAGTATCAGGGAAATTATCGTGTATTTGTATTTTAACAACTTGAGTCACGCAAATATACTTAGAAAAATATTGAAGTATTTAAAATACTTTTTAAATATATATATATATATATATATATATATATATATATATATATATATATATATATATATATATATATATATATATATATATATATATATATATATATATATATATATGTATGTATGTATGTATATAATAGGCCCTAATTCAAAAAATATTCCTGTTTGTACAGTGTATCAATAATGACTAATTTCTTGGGGACAGCTGGAGGAAACGTTCTAAATACACTGAACATATCACGGGTAAGATTACAAGATTTCACTTGTCCATTTGTCCCCCCTCC